TAGTAGTTCTGAGAACTTATGCAAGTTTTCATCTATAAACCACAATAATGCTTCTCAAGTTTAAACAATATAAGGAAATGCTTGACACTGTGTCTAGCATGTGGTAAACAATAAATATTTTATTATCATACGCTAATTAAATGACAACTTTTAAAAGACTGTTATGATAAACCAACTGAAATCTGGAGATAGCTCATTTTAAAAAGAGCCCTTTTCTGGCCATGACTAATTTACATCCTTTAATTCAGGATGCTGACACTGCATTTTAATGGCTCTGCTCTGTGAGGTGAAAAGTCTGATCTCAGCTCAACCTTCAGGTTGTTCATTACCCACTGTGGCATCAACAATCACGAATTAATCTAAATCTTTGATTAACTCATTGTCTTGGTTTCCTAAAGCTGCCGTAACAAATAGCCACAGACTTAATGGCTTAAAACAACACAAATTTATTATCTTACACAAGTCTCGCTGGGCTAAAAAGCAAGGTGTTGGTATCCCTTCTGGAGGTTTTAGGGAAGAATCCATTTCCTCACCTTTTCCAGCTTCTAGAGGCTGCCTGCATTCATTTGCTTGTAGCCCCCTTCCTCCATCTCCAAAGTCAGGAGTGTAGCATCTTCAAGTCCCTCTCTGACTCTGACTCTTCTGCCTCCCTCCTCCCTATTTAAGGACCCTTGTGATTACACTGAGCCCATCTGGATAATCCAGGATAATCTCTCCAAGTCAAAGTTAGTTAAGTCAGAAATTTAATTTTTCTCTGGCATGTAATCCAACATATTCATAGATTCTAGGGGTTGAAACATGGACATATTTGGGGGCCGTTATTCTGTCTACCACACTTATGTATGTTTTCAGGATAACTTCAACTGCCAGAGTTAGATGGGAACACTGATGTTATTTTGATAGCAAGAGAGGAAAGAAGATCTAGTCAGGGAGAACACAGCCTCTACAGGGAGGTGTGTGCAATGTGCATATTGGGCCAGTAATTTGTTTTGCTCCATTGGACAACAGAAGTCAAACCCAAAAGTATGGGGGACAAACAAAAAAAGCAAAATGAAAATAATGATTGTGGCCTCTGTATATTTCAAAAATTGATTCCTTTTAATGATGATAGCTACAAGTTCACTGTTATCTTAAAAACTATAAGTAATTTTTAAAAATATGCTTCATTCTTAAGGAACTAAAGAACATAATAAACCCCAAACAAGAAGAATAATATACAAAGCAGAGATTAAAAAAAACAAAACAGAAAACAGAAAAAAAAAATCAATAAAGCTAAGAGTTGGTTTTTTGAAAAGATCAACATAATTGACAAACCCCTTGTAAAAGACTCAAAACCAGAAATGAAAGAGGGAACATTAGAACCAATGCCACAGAAATAAAAAGGATTATAAAATACTATGAACAGCTATATGCCAATAAAGTGGATAACCTTGAAGAAATGGATAAATTCCTAGAAACATACAACCTACCAAAACTGAGTATGAAGAAAGAGAAAACCCAAACAGACCTATAACTAGTACAGAGACTAAACCAGTAATCAAAAATCTTCCAGCAAAACTACTGGGTATTTACTCAAAAAATACCAAAAACTCAAAGGGATACATACACTCCCAAGTTTACTGCAGCATTATTTACAATAGCCAGTTATGGAAGCAGCCCAAGTATCTATCAATATATGAATGGATAAAGAAGATGTGGTGTATATATATACCATATGCAATGGAGTATTACTCATCCATAAAAAGAAGAAAATCTTGCCATTTGCAACAACGTGGATGGAGCCAGAAAGTATAATGCCAAGTGAAATAAGCTATAGAAAGACAAATACTGTGTGATTTCACTCATATGTGGAATTTAAAAAACAACAAATGAGCCAAGGGGAAAAAAAAGAGACAAACCAAGAAAGAGATTCTTAACTATAAAGAAAGAACTGACGGTTACCAGAGTGGAGATGGGTAAGGGGATGGATGAAAAAGGTGACAGGGACTAAAGAGTATACTTATTGTGATGAGCACGGAGTAATGTACAGAACTGTTGAATCGCTACATTGTACACCTAAAACTAATTTAACACTGTATGTTAACAATACTGGAATGTAAAATTTTAATTAAAAAAGAAAATCTCACAGCAAAGAAAAGTCCTAGATCTAATAATAGCTTCACTGGTGAATTCTACCAAACACTTAAAGAGCTAACATTAATCCTTCTCAAACTTTTCCTTAAAAACTGGAGGAAAAACTTATTCATTCTGTGAAGCCACCAGTACCCTGATACCAAAGCCAGCAAAGACACTACAAAAAAACTACAGACCAACATCCCTTATGATCGCTGATATAAAAATCCTCAACAAAATACTAGCAATATGAATTCAGCAGCATATTAAAAGGATTATACACCATAAACAAGAGGGATTTATTCCTGGAATTCAAGGATGATTCAACCTATGAAAATTGATAAAGTAATACATCACACTAACGAATGAAGGAAAATAACTGAGTGATCATCTCAACTGTTGCAAAAAAAAGAATCTGACAAAATTCAATACACTTTCATGATAAAACTCTCAAGAAATTAGGTATAGATGGAAAGTACCTCAACATAATAAAGACCATATGTGAAAAGCCCACAGCTACCATCATACTCAAAATGGTGAAAGACCGAAAGCTTTTCCTCTAAGTTTAGAAACAAAAGAAGGATGCTTGCTCTTACCACTTCTTTTCAACATACGTCATAGCCAGAACAATTAGGCAACAAAAAGAAAAGGCCTCCTAATTGAAAAGGAATAAGTAAAATTGTCTTTGTTCACAGATGACATGATCTCATATGCAGAAAACTCTAAAGATAAAAAAATGGTAGAATAAGTGAATTCAGCAAAGTTGCAGTATACAGAATTAACACATGCAAAAATCAGTTGCATTTCAATACACTAACAGTGAATAATCCAAAAAGAAAACAATTCAATTTACAATAGCATCAGAAAGAATTAAACTTACAAATAAACCTAAACAAAAAGGTGAAAAACTTGTACACTGCAAACTACACGCTTCTGTAAGAAGTTAAAGACACAAATAAATGGGAAGTTAGCCCATGTTCATGGATTAGAAAACTTATATTTTTAAAACACCAATACTTCCAAAGCTATCTACAGATTCAATGCAATACCTATCAAAATCCCAATAGCATTTTTTGGAGAAACAGAAAAATCTACCCTGAAATTCGTATGGAATTTCAAAGAGCCCCAAATAGCCAACCAATCCTGAAAAAGAACAAAGTTGGAAGACCGTACTAGAGTTCCTCAGAGAAACTTAACTAATAGGAAAGAGATATACACACACATACACGAATATACACACACATAGACACACATGAGATTTATTACAGGAATTGGCTCATGTGATTATGGAGGCCAAGAAGTCCAGGATCTGTCATCTGCCAAAGAACCAGAAAAGCCAGTGGTATAGTTCAGTATGAATTTGAAGGCCCAAGAACTAGGAGTTCTGAGATCAGAAGGCAGGAACAGATGGATGTCTCAGCTCTCAGAGCACTAATTCATCCTTCCTTCCCCCTTCTGTTCTACTCAAGGCCTCAGGGGATTGGATGATACCCAACTCACTGGTTAAGATCACCTTCTTTACTCAGTCTCCTATTCAGATACTAATCTCTTCCAGAGACATCCTTATAGACACAGATATCTGGCCATCCCCTTAGCCCAGTTGACATATAAAATTAACCATCACAAGGACTCATACTTTCTGATTACAAAACTTACTACAGGGGCACCTGGGTGGCTCAGACGGTTGGGCTTCTTGCCTTCAGCTCAGGTCATGATCTCCGGGTCCTGGGATCGAGCCCCACATTGGGCTCCTGGCTGGCTCAGCGGAGAGCCTGCTTCTCCCTCTGCCTCTCCCCCTGCTTGTGTGCTCTGTCTCTCTCTCAAATGAATAAATAAAATCTTTAAAAAAAAAAAAACTTACTACAAAACTACAAGTGTGGCAAGGATATGGAGAAATTGGAAAACCTGTACACTGTTGGTGGGACTGTAAAATGGCACAGTGATATGGAAAACAGTATGGTTATTCCTCAAAAAATTAAAAACCGAATTACTATAAGATCCAGCAATGCCGGGACACCTGGGTGGCTCAGTCAGTTAAGCATCTGCCTTCAGCTCAGGTCATGATCTCAGGGTCCTGGGATCGAGTACTGCATCGGGCTCCCTGCTGAGCAGGGAGCCTGCTTCTCCCTCTCCCTGCCACTCCCCCTGCTTGTTCTCTCTCTCTCTCTGACAAATAAACAAATCTTAAAAAAAAAAAAAAAAAAGATCCAGCAATGCCACTTCTGGGTATATATCCAAAAGAACTGAAAGCAACATCAGAGGTGTTTACGCACCCATGTTCACTGCAGCACTACTCACAAGAGCCAAGAGGTAAAAGCAACTCAAGTGTTTATCAATGGATGAATAAATAAACAAAAAATGGTATATCCATATAATGGAATATTATTCAGCCTTAAAAAGGAAGGAAATCCTGTCATATGCTACAACATGGATGACCACTGAAACCATTATGCTAAGTGAAAGAAAGTGTTACAAAAGACAAACACTGTATGATTCCATATATAAGATCCGGAACATAGTCAAATTTAGAGAAATAGAAAGTGTAATGGTGGCTGCCAGGGGCTGGGGGCAGGAGGAAAGGAATAAGGAGTTTTGTAATGGGTACAGAATTTCAATTTTGCAATATGAAAAAGTTTTGGAAATCTGTTGTATAACAATATGAATAAACCCTTAATGAACTGTACACTTAAAAATGTAAAATGTATAAATTTTATGCTACACTTTACAATAAAAAAAAACTTTCTAAAATATGCTTCACTACATCTTGACAAAACTAAAATCTGGACCCCAGTATCCTTTAAGCCATTCCTTCCAGAGGAAAACTCTATTACCAAATGCTGTACATGTGGACTCAGGACCAAATCCCTCCCACTCACCTTTCAACTCACCTTCGTTTCGGTGCCCTAATGAAGAGCTCACAGAGGAGCCTGCCTTGCTCATCCTTATAGTCTCGAATGGTATTGTACAATTCATGGCATACAGCAATCTATACATAGGAAAAGGCGAAAAAAATCACCAGAAACGTGAATAGAAGGCCAGTGTAGGTATAAGGATTATCCTTAATAAAAACATACTCATAAAAAGTAGAGAAGAAAATGGACAAATCCGCAAGTTCCAAGTCTGAAATATACTGACAATATTTCCTTATTTAAAATAATTTTAGGGGCACCTGGGTGGCTCAGTCATTAAGCATCTGGCCTTTGGCTCAGGTCATGATCCTAGGGTCCTGGGGTCGAGCCCCGCACCGGGCTCTCTGCTCAGCGGAAAGCCTGCTTCTCCCTCTCCCACTCCCCCTGCTTGTGTTCCCTTTCTTGCTGTGTCTCTCTCTGTCAAATAAATAAATAAAATCTTAAAAAATAATAATAATAATTTTAACTGCTTAGGGGCACCTGGCTGGCTCAGTCAGAAGACCATCCAACTCTTGTTCTCAGGGTCATGAATTCGAGCCCAACATTGGGTAAAAAAAAAAAAAAAAAATCATCAGATTTATGCTACTCCTGATTGTTTTTTTTTTTTAAAGATTTTATTTATTTACTTGAGAGAGAGAATGAGAGATAGAAAGCACGAGAGGGAAGAGGGTCAGAGGGAGAAGCAGACTCCCCGCTGAGCAGGAAGTCCGATGTGGGACTCGATCCCGGGACTCCAGGATCATGACCTGAGCCGAAGGCAGTCGCCCAACCAACTGAGCCACCCAGGCACCCGTGATTGTTCTTTTCTCTTAAGCTAAATCAGTTCATATCACTCTCTTGGTTAAAATCATTCAAAAGAGGAGCTTCTTATTACTGAGTGAATAAAATCTAAACCCCTAACATTGACCATGGAGTATGTAGGGTAATTATATACTGTGGTTGGGCAGACTTTGCCAGTCTCCTTCTCCCCTTGACCATCTTTCTATAATCACAACACAACAAACGCATTCCTGACCTAGGTCCTCTGCATCGGATCCCTCTGCCTGGGACACCCTTTTCCAGTACTCTGTAGGGCCAGTGCCTTCCCATCACAAAGAAATCCCTCAGGGTTTGGGCCCAAGCAGCCAAATCACCCAAACTTTTTTTCTTAGCATTTATCATTAGCTGAGGGTACTTTATTATCTATTTGTTCATCTGTTTACATTCTCCTTCTGCCACACTAGAATCTAAGCTCCATGTGAAAAATTGGCTTGTCTTACACATGGCTATATCCCAACCATCAGAACAGCGAGTGCTTGGCACATGACAAGTACAATTATTTGAAAGGATATATAATGCAACATACTAATATTTTCTTTTTTTTTTTTGGTCAAAAGGTACAAACTTCCAGTTATTATAAATAAGTGCTAGGGATGTAACATACAACATAACTATACTTAACACTGCTACTGTATATTTTAAAGTTGTCCTAAGAGTAGATCCTAAAGGGCGCCTGGGTGGCTCAGTTGGTTAAGCGACTGCCTTCGGCTCAGGTCATGATCCTGGAGTCCCCGGATCGAGACCCACATGGGGCTCCCTGCTCAGCAGGGAGTCTGCTTCTCCCTCTGACCCTCTTCCCTCTCATGCTCTCTCTCTCTCATTCTCTCTCAAATAAATAAAAATCTTTAAAAAAAAAAAAGAGTAGATCCTAAAAGTTCTCATTATAAGGAAAACAACGTTTTTTTTGGTCATCTCTAGGAAATGATGGATATTAAACTAATTGCGGCTTCATTTCATAATATATATAGGACAAATCATTATAGGGTACACCTCGAACTTAGTTTTATATGTCAATTACATCTCAATAAAACTAAAAAAAAATTTTGTGCATATTTCTATTATATGGTCTGCCACTCTGATCTGTAGAATTCATAAGCCCATTTGGTTTTGTTTTTTTTTTCCCCATTTGGTTATTTTTAATTAGAATTAAGTGCTTTGGCAGATTACACTTTCATCAAAACACCTTTTCATCAAAACAGAAATAACTTTATGCAAATTTCTTATTCTAAATGTATTCAGAGTAATTACTTTTTTTGAGAGTTCTTAAATATTTATTTTATTTTTAATGTATTACTTGGGGACACCTGGGTGGCTCAGTTGGTTGGGTGTCTGACTCTTGGTTTTGGCTCAATTCATGATCCATGGTTGTGGGATTGAGCCCCAAGTCAGAATCTGTGTGCTCAGTGTGGAGTCTGCTTTTCCCTCTCCCACCCCCGACCCCCCGCTCTCTCTCTCTAAAATAAATAAATGAAATCTTAAAAAAAAAAGTATTATTAAAGTATAACTGACATACAATATATAAGTTTCAGATGTACAACATAGTGATTCAACAATTCTATACATTGTTCAAAGCCCACCACAGTAGATGTAATCCCTATCTGTCACCATATAATGTTATTACAACATTGTTGACTATATTCCTTATGCTGTACTTTTTATCTCCGTGACTTATTTATTTTATAACTGGAAGTTTGTACCTCTTAATCCCCTTCACCTATTTCACCCACCCTCCACCCACCATTATTTCTTAAATTATAACTGTTAAGACTGTTGGCTAAATATATGCTTTCCATAAAAGAAAGATTAAGAATATTAAGTCAGAGGAAAAAGAAGTGTATCTTAACTGCTTATCATTAAAGGAAGAGTAGGAACGCAGGCAGAAACTGTGTGATGCAAGTTACTCACAGGATCTACAGTTGGAAGATTGGAAAGTCTCCTCCTTTTCCTGCTTGGGCCTGGTGTAGATACAGAATGGTGCCCATCATCAAAGTCCCCACTGACGCTACTGGATGGCGAGGTAGCTCTTCTTCTCTTGGAACCCATGGAATCCAACTTCTTCTATAAGAAATAATCAGCCATGTTCTTATACTTAAATTTAGACACTGCCACCAAGCCCTCAGCTAGGCACTTGCTACCCAGATTCTGATTCACTTAGGAGGATATTTTAACCATTGTAAAGAAACTTAACTGTCAGTTTTTTCAGTGGAACTTCTGGACCTTGTTGCTTCAGCCCCTTCACTTACCAGAACGTTACACTTTCAACTAGGATAGGGCAAATTCAACAAAAGTTTACCCATTTATATGTCACCAAGTTTGAATGACCCAATCACGTCTGGTCCCAAATTTACTCCTTAATGGACTTTGAAAACCTACATGTAGGGGTACACCAGTGTGGAGGTATTGATCCCTCAGCCCCTGAGGCAGCGAGGCAGGCCTCAGGCACAGAAGCCCCAAGGCAGTCACCTCTGGAGTCAGCAGCTTCATCTGTTTTCCCCAGTATGTCTAACAATTCTGATCATTTTCCAGGTGGGCCATGATGTGGAAAAAAATAGAAATCAGTGCCTGAGGCAAATGAGTAGTGCCAAAGTGTAGGGGACAGAGGACAATTAACCTTCTAGCATTTTAGATGAACTCTAAAATTAACACACTGAAAATGAATTTTCTCCATTCATTAAAGAAGGCCACAAAACATATCCCTGGAAAACACTTAATGTGACTTACCATACCTATGTCAAAGTAGTAAAACTATTTTGAAACTTTTCTGTCAATCTGACTGACCTTTTCAGTTATACGAGGTATTCTATCCCCATGAATTTTGAAATCATAGCTTTAAGTTTCAGCAGGTGACTTGGAATAGTACCTCAGAGGGGAACCTTTAGATACTAGTTGGCCTTTCAGAAACACATAAATATTTGCTGTCAGGTAGGCTGTCTAGTAGCTAATATTAACACAAATTTACAAATATACACATTTGACTGTAACACAAAAAATGCAACCATTGAAATGATCTGCTACAGCTAGAGGGAAAGGGTATATACCTGAGAAGGTCCTATAATGCTTTTACAATTTAACAACAGTATCAAATAGTATACTGTGGCTTCAGAGGTCTCTCTCCAAAGCTAAAAGAAAAAACTGATCCCAGTTTCACTCATCAACATTCAACGTCAGTAAACTAAGACACCAGCAGCTGAAAGAACGGGTTGCCAGTAGGTACAGAGAGAAAAATTGGGGATCTCCAGGGAACAGAAAGGAGGAGCAAAACAAACCAACAAACAGAACATTCTGGTAACCAACTAAGAAACAAGGAATCTCCTATCTCCTCCTCTGAACTACGGTCCACATGGTATTTAAAAACAGCCTACCATGATATTCCTTCCTCTAGGCTTTGGTTTGTTATACAGGTTATTAGTTTGCAATTGGCTACAACTGGCTAAAAGGTTCAAAGGGCTTAGGCCAAGGACAGCCAAGTGTTGCTGATTTTTTTTTGTTTCATAAAAGGCTGATAAACTGGCCTCACTCAATTCATTAAGAGGAAGAAACTAAGGACCAAACCTCAGTAAACAAGCTATGACAAGGACACAAGTGAATTTGATGAACATGACAAGGGAATCTTTATGGGAAGAATTAACAAAATAAAAAAAAAAGTGGAAGGGAAGAGGCAAGGAAGGACAGAAAAGAGAAAAGGTGTAGATGATCAGTAATTTACCAGCTTTACCAGAGCACAACCAGCGCCTCGAAAAGCCAGTCTCCTCATTATGTCTGAAGGCCAAGTGAAGCCAGTGGGAGAAGGCAGGGCTTTAGAAGTGCTGATTCAGTGTTAATATATTCAAAACTGAAAGAGAAGAACAAGGCAGAGAAAGGGGAAATAAAAAAGAAAGGTCAGAAGGAGTAAAAATGTGTACGAATAGATAGAAAACATTCAAGTAGAACTGCTAAAGAAAGATAAGAGAACTGGAGAATATAGCCGTTATCAGTTCTCTTGTGCCAAAGTGCTGCAAAGGCTCAGGCACTAACAGTACCTGACATTTCTTTCCATTTTAAAACCAAATGCTTTTCATATGCTTAAAGATGGCTCACTGGGATTCCCCTTTACTCACATGGAATGCCTGTCAATTCCAGGAATGAAGCATGCCTGCCCAAATGCCCCCTAGTCAATAAGAGCAGAGTTCAATCACAGAGCTGGAATGGAGAGTGAACACATGTGGAAGGCTCACATGTGACACCAAGTGTTGGCAAGCTGGAACAAACCAAGAATGGCTCATGTGAACAGAGTCTGGAAAACTCCTCGCCCCCCCCCAAAAACATTCAGAGAAAGACATTTCTTTCCAAAAGTCCTATCAGCATTGGAAAGACACCACATACAAATTTAAAAAAATTAAAAACAAAGCCTTCGATCATTTTGGCAGGCGATCAAAATTACCTTCAGAAATAATCCACTGAAAAGCAAATGACAAACTGTAAATCGTTGGTGTATGTATACCAGTTTAGACCACACAATAACCAAAACTCCTTAAATCATTAACTTTCTTTGCTAAAACAAGAAAAAGATGTAACTTAAGGGTAATTTTCAATTATTTTCTTATCCAAAGGACACGTTTTTAAATGTATTTTGGAAGTTTGGCAATAAAGGCAATGTGGCCAGATAGGTGGGAGAAGCAACAGGACTTGAGCTCAGACGACCAGAATGTGAGTCCCAAGTCTTCCACTTTGAATTATCTGTTTGATGTTGCTTGAGTCACAACCCCTCAGAGCTGTTTCTTCACTTCTAAAATGAGAACAGTCAGGTGTGCATATCTGCCTTAGATTACTGGGACTGTGAAATGTTCATGAAATCACTTTGAAACTTCAAAGCAGGACAAAGAAGTTTCAACTCTAGGATTAAATGCTCCCTGGGAACAGGAATAGCACTTTATTCATTTTTGTAGCTCTAGCTAATAGAATAGTATCTGGTATAGTATGAGTGATCAACTTTTTAATAAACACGTTAAAAGTACACATGAGTGGGACATTAAAAAAAGTCTGTGTGGTTTAAAAGGACTGTAAGCATCCCTTTAGCAATTCTTTTGCCATGAAGAGGAAATCGATTCTGGTGCTAATAAAATACAGGTTTTTAAAATGGCACTGATTACAGTCACATGTCCAAAAGTCTGATAACCAATAAATTACAGTGGACACTAACGAGTAACTTTTAAAATGTGCAACCGGGAAAATACTGACTCATTATACCCACATGGTATATGTTTACAGTTTATAAACTTTTCGTACTCTCCTCTATTTCTCATGATACTCAATACTGTAATACATGGTTAGAACAAGAATCTTGGAAAACAGGATTTGAAGGAGAAAAAAACCATGATCTTTCTTCCTAGGGAAAAAAACACCCTTAACATTGGCATTCACAGCTTTTTGTATTTATTCTATGCCTTAATTGCCTATTTTTTTAAACAAAAGTGTTAAAACATATGTATTATTTTGCACCTTGTATTTTAACTCAGGATTATACCAAGTCAACATTCTTCCACATGATGTTTGATGGCTTGATAATAGCCTATCATATATATACACCACAATTTACTAATATTGGAATTTTGGATAGAATATTAATATTTGAGGTACACCCAAAGCCAGAGAAAGCGATCAAGGCCCTTCAATTTATCCACGCATTTGTTACTGTTTTAAGTTGGAAATAGTTCTTCAAAAGATACTTTCCTAACTTCCTTTGAATCTTAAAATACCGACATCTGTTAACAAATAATAAAGCAAAATCATACTACTCTTAATGGAAAAACATCACTTCAAAACCACTTTTGAGGAGCCCGTTTTTTGGAATATAAGTTAATAAGAATGTTTTATTCCAACATATGTTCTATAACCATAGTAATAATTTCTATATCTGCTATACTGTGTATTTGCCATTTGGTTTTCAGTATTTCTTCTACATTTTGCCAATCTTATTTAAATCACCAATATCTGCTCTATCACAACAAAACTACATTTCTTTCAGTAAAAAATCTTAAGAGGTGGAAAATTATTAAACACCAGGAAACGTAGTTTTAAAACCTCGATTTTTTTTTTCGTGGTGCTGCAGAAACATGAGATACTTAAAAATCTAGTCTTTACTATAAATACAAGTCCCATTGATAAAAACATTCAGTCTGAACAGTCATCGAGAAAATGTAAAAAAAAAAAAAAAATTAAAAATTTTTTCACTAGTTGAGTTTGCGTCCGAACCGTCAAGAAACAACAAAAAAAGGAGGCCCTGACCTGCGGAAGAAATGAAAGACTTTCCGGACCTGTCACTGGTACGGGGACTAAGTGAAACGTTGACAGCTTTGAAGCTGCCCGCGACGAGTGCTCGGCCAGCCGCAGGGGCGGGAAAGAGGGAGCGAGGAGTTTCCGGGCCGTAGCGCGCCTTTGTCCCGGCCGGCAGGTGCGGCAAAGCTCCCTGGCCGTCCCGACGCCCGCCGCCGTGCCCCGCCCCGCGCGCCCGGCCCGACCGGCGCGTCCCCACGGCCGGGGCGGGGCCTCCGCCGCTGCTCCCGCCCGCCCGGGCCCACACAAAGGCCCGGCAGCCGGCCGAGAAGGAGCGGCCCCGCCCGCCCCGAGCCCGGCCTTACCCAGCCGCTCCGCCGCCTGCAGCCCCGGCCGCGGTCGCCGACCGCCGCGCCCCGCCCCGTGGCCGCCACGGCTGCTGCTATTGCTCCTCCGGCTGCGGCCGCTGCCGTCTCTCCAGCACCCGCCGCCCTCACCGCCCTCACCGCCCTCACCCCTCCCGGTGCCGCCGCAAAACCAGTCCCGCGGTCGCCAAGCGAACCCGGCTCCTCACGACACTGCGTGCGCGGGCACGCGAGCGGGCGGCGGCGCTCTTTACGGCGGTAGCGTCAGTGCGTGACGCTCGAGCTTGGCCGCAATTTACACGTGGCTGTGTCTGAGGCGCGTTGTTGCTGCTGCCACTACAGTCGCTGCCGGCACTGCCCTTGCCACTACCAGTATGAAGCGACCGAGTGAGTGGGGTCAGGGAGCGAGTGTGGAGGGGCCTTTGTCTCTAATGGTTGACGAACCACCGGGGCGCTCTTATGTGGGAATGGGGGAGCCTGCGGGTAGGCCGTCGCGCTGGTCCCCAGTAGAAGCGAGGGTTGGAAGGCCCCACGCTGACCGCCGGTTTGTTTTACGAAAGGAAGACAAAAGTGAATTTCACTGGGGCGCTTGGGTGGTTCAGTCGGTAAAGCGGCTGCCTTCGGCTCAGGTCATGATCCCGGGGTCCTGGTATTTAGCCCTGCGTGGACTGCTTGCTCAGCGGGGAGTCTGCTTCTCCCTCTGCCCTTCTCCTTGCTCTTGTTCTGTGTCAAAATCTTAAAAAAAAAAAAGACGGAGGGAGTCTTTGACAGAGATAGAGTACAAGCAGGGAGAGGCAGAAGCAGGTTTCCCGCTGAGCAAGGAGCCCCATGTGGGACTCGATCCCAGCACCCTGGGATCATGACCTGAGCCAAAGGCAGACGCTTAACCAACTGAGCCACCCAGGTGCCTACATAAATAAAATCTTAAAAGAAAAAAAAAAAGTGAAGATGAAGCCTGGGCCTCTTGCGTAAACAGTGTCTGAGCCAGGTTGCAGGCCCAGCATTTTCCTCCCTTGGCCCACGTTCAGTCTGGCCCTTGAGAAGTCTGAGTGCCACCTCTGAAATCCACTGTTAGGTCCTAACTTGTGATTCACCGTGTGTGACAAGAAGTGCCTGCCGTTTTGGGTCTCATGCTCCTGAGTGCAATTTCAGTCTACTATGGGAAGAGGGGGCGTAAGGAAGCTGGGCTCTGCTCCGGATATACTGTGTCAAATTGTCCGGAGATTTTAGAATGGCCTATATTTATTATCCACCATATATGATTCTTAAATTAGGTTTGAGAGTTAATTGCTAAATGGGAAAAGGGACGTAACCCCCGAGCAGTCACTAAAAACTAAACAAATGGATCTCTTGTGTCTAATTGTTTTGCAATGGGTTTTTTTGTAGAGTTAAAGAAAGCAAGTAAACGCATGACCTGCCATAAGCGTTATAAAATCCAAAAAAAGGTAAGTGCTGTTCTTGGAAGAGCTATATTAAAATAATGCAAAACTGATTTCTGCTCCACCTCTCCTCCACTGGGAGGTTTGGATTAATAGGATTTCACCTCATGAAACTGAGGTTAAATAGACTGTCTGTGGGCACAAGTTCTTAGACATCAGGAGTATAGCTCTGGGAAAGTGCAGTAATTTGGTGATAAGTCTGTAAACTCTGATCAACATGTTAATGTCTGCAAAGAGTCTCCTGATGACATTTTTGTGCTGTTTTATACATAAATATGTATGCTCTCTATACGGTTACAAGTTAATTTTTCTAGGTTATCTTACAGGTACAACCAACTTTAGTCAGGTACTCACAAGAGTTTTTATTTTAATAGGTTCGAGAGCACCATCGAAAATTGAGGAAGGAGGCTAAAAAACGGGGTCGCAAAAAGCCTAGAAAAGACCCAGGAGTTCCAAACAGTGCTCCCTTTAAAGAAGCTCTTCTTCGGGAAGCTGAGCTAAGGAAACAGCGGGTAAGATATGTTAATTCAAACTTTGAACAAGTGATGTGTGGGTATGTGTAGCTTTTCAAAGTAAAATAACCCCAGGTTGCTTTGGCTCCCCCATTTCTCTTACGGCTTGGACACAGCTTGAAGAACTAAAACAGCAGCAGAAACTTGACAGGCAGAAGGAACAGGAAAAGAAAAGAAAACTTGAAACTAACCCTGGTGTTAAGCCATCTAACTTGGAACCTGTGAAGGAGGTAGGATTAAGTATCTTTGTGAATGAGGGTTCTGACGTAGACGTAAAAACACATACCCGGGGCAGGGGCTGCTGTGCCTCTTGGACAGAGAGAGAGTTCCAACTTTCTTTTACTAATAGAAATATCACCTGCAGTGCCCCTAGTTAGCCATGGAAAATGGAGAATCAGGTTGCACCTAAAGTGCTAATTTTGTGTCCTTTTTCCCTTATCTTTATCTTGCAGGAATTTGGGCAGGGCAGAGCTAAGGACAAACCCAAGTCTGGCAAACAGAATCCGAAGAAGTTGTATTGTCAGGAACTTAAAAAGGTATTTTAGTCTAGGTCAGTGTCTAAAAATGGTAATGAGGTTGAAAAGGCTAGAGTTCTTTTTCTGACACCAGCCCTGTAAATGTGGAAGTGGAGTTCACTTGAGCTAGATAAATCCTTTAGCAAGTTGACTTACCCTGTTTTTTAGTTTTTATTTTTATTTATTTATTTACTGTGGTTTATTCTACTTAGGGCCTTTTCTATTTAACTGAAATATTCTTAAGGTTTAAAATTTTTGCACAGGAACAGTTCCCTATAAGCTTCATTTACAGAAATGGTTACTTTGTGTTAAAGTAACATGTTGATAGTGGTTTTTTAAAATAGAGAAAAATACATTAGAGCAAGTAGTGTGGAAACAATACTCTGTTGAAACGTTAAGTGAAGGAAGTCAAGGGAGTGTCTTGGCATAGTTGCTCCCCAGAACTCCATCCCCAATACCCATTTTCCCAGGCTCACTCCCCTCTGAATAGAACATGACTGCTGCTCAGCAGCTCTTGGCAGGGCCGGGGGGCGGGGGGGCGGGTGGCGTCACACTATGTAATTCACCATTGGAGGGTTATAGATTCGGACAGTGGAGGTATTTCCACTTTTGAAATCCATTTTGATGGGAGACCAGAGGCTGCCAAGCAAACCTATATTTTACTTTCCTGTGAGAAATGATGAACATGTGAACATTCTTCATGCCCAGGTGAAGATGTAAGATCCAACTCTGAGCTCACCCTGTTGCGAAGTGGAAAATGTCAGTATACTTGTATGGAGGGTGTTTGCCAGAGCAAGGGATGCTCCTCTGATAGTTTCTGCCTTGACAGGTGATTGAAGCCTCAGATGTTGTGCTGGAGGTGCTGGATGCCAGAGATCCACTTGGTTGCAGGTGTCCCCAGTTAGAAGAGGCCATTATCCAGGATGGACAGAAGAAGCTGGTACTTGTATTAAATAAATCAGGTGAGCAAAGGGATGCCTTTTATGTTCCATATGCACTAGTGAGGTATGAGGAAAATATGTGAGCAGTCTGATTTTCACTGAAGACTGATAAGATCCAACTCTGACCTCAGTAAAGCCAGTGCATATGGTCTTGTTGCCAAAGACAGTGCTGGGCAATGGGATGGAGGTATTTTCTGTAAGTGATTAACAGGTTTCTACTGTTCTTTTGCCATTCAGTACTTATCATCTTGTCTTATTTAAGAGTGTAAGCTTCTCTACTCAGCTTACTGTGCAATATATTGCACATAGGAAGCGATGGTAGTTTGCCATATTCCCCACATCTGCATAAAGTCTATATATGACAGTATCTATATGAAGTGCACTTAGGAAGCATTGGTTTGAACATCAGGGCCAGGAAAACCCAGAATAGAGAGAGACTTGTGAAGCAGAAAGTAAGAATGGCATTCAGTTACTGTTGGTAACTCTCAGGTAACATGGCTGATTCTGGAAACATAGCTGTAGAGTTAAGCTAGGAGGGTCATAATCTACAGGTTGACTTAATTCTGAAAGGGTGAGCCGGGCAGAGGGGGACTGAAGAAATACTGAGGTGTAGATACCGAACTCTTGTTAAGATAAGGGCAGCATGGTAGGGAGCTTACCCTCTTCCCATCTTCCACTTAAATCCTTTTGAAAAAACTGAAGAGACAAACCAGAGTAAAATCCAGTTTATCAGATAGTGCATATTCATGTCAACAAAGTGACCAAATTGTAGCATGTGTCTTATTCCTAATCCCTATTAGATTTGGTACCAAAGGAGAATTTGGAGAACTGGCTAAATTATTTGAAGAAGGAATTACCAACAGTGGTGTTCAGAGCCTCAACAAATAAAGACAAGGGCAAGATAATCAAGGTACTCTTTTCAGTCAGTGGTGGGAAGTATGGTTCTTTCAGATTTTGGATGGCTGAAATATGATGAGTGTATAAAATCTTGATTAAAAAATGAGAACTCAAAAGATCCAACTCTGATTTCATCCAGAGATAATCTGAAAGATAATAGTGTGGTGATTTTAATAGCTGGGCTCTGGAGCCAGATTGCTTGGGTTTTATCTGGTGGGTTATCAGAAGTAGTTAAACTAATTAAATGGAATTTTAGCATTTGAAGGTAAGGAAGAGAGCTCCATTCAAAAGCGAAGTCTGTGTTGGGAAAGACAGCCTTTGGAAGCTTCTCAGAAGTTTTCAGGAGGCTCGTGGCAAAGCCATTCAGGTTGGAGTAATTGGTGAGTTTCAGTTCAACACACTTTATGTCTTTTAAGTGCCAGGGTTTTATTCATGTTAACAGTGTCTTGGGTTGGTGCTCAATAAAGGGCTTGTTCGAACATTAGCTTCTTGCCCACTTCATCAAACACAAAAATTTTAATTGCCTGTTTCAGTGCTGTGCACTGTAGGAAGTTGGCTTCTGAAAGCTGGTTTATTTGAATTAATCATCTTTTCCTGCTCTTTGATTACTTGTGCAAGAAATGAAGATGCTAAGATTGGTCTTAGTGTTGAAGTGAAGACACTCAGATCCAACTCTGATCTTGCTGCAAACATCAGGCAAACCTAAGGCAGTGGAAATTTTATAATTACCAATACGTAATGCCTTTTGTTCTGTGGATTTCCCATTTGTAGGTTTCCCAAATGTGGGGAAAAGCAGCATCATCAATAATTTAAAACAAGAACGGATATGTAATGTTGGTGTATCCATGGGGCTTACAAGGTAAAGTGAGTTCTTCCATAATTGTGATATTTCATTATAGATGAGTAAGTAATTGTTTAGGATAGCTTAAGGAAGACCATTTACTATTTTTACTTTAGAGGTGTCAGTGAAAGGAACAGGGTTAAGGCAGTGCTAGACTTAGGGAAAAATTGATTAGAGTGGAATAGCTCACATCTAGTTTGAAAGACAAGCAAATAGATTTGAGAGAAGGGGAAGCTGCCTCAGAAGGGATGCTTGAACCCAATTCTGAATTGAAGTCAGCCAGGTGGGGGTGCCTCGGTGGCTCAGATGGTTAAGCGTCTGCCTTAGGCTCGGGTCATGATCCCAGGGTCCTGGGATCGAGCCCCGCATCGGGCTCCCTGCTCCATGGGAAGCCTGCTTCTCCCCCTCCCTCTGCCACTCCCCTTGCTTGTGTTCCCTCTCTTGCTGTGTCTCTGTCAAATAAATAAATAAAAAATCTTTAAGGAAAAAAAAAAGCCAGGTGGAGGGGAAATTTTCATGGCAGAGGAAATGGCATGTGTTTAAGTCAACAGATAAGCTCTAACATGTAGTGTTTCTCTTTAGTAGGGGAGGAACACTGTTAGAGTTTCAGATGAACATGAAGCAAATGATGATAAACTGGATCTGACAGACTATGCTGAGTTTGTTCAATCCAACCCTGAGCTTCGTGTTGTCTCTCATCCTTCAGGTAAACCAGTGCTCCCATCAGTTACCATCCCTCTTGTTCCAGGTGCATGCACGTTGTCCCCCTGGACAAACAAATCACAGTCCTAGACAGTCCAAGTCTCATTGCGTCTCCACTTAATTCTGCCAGTGCACTTGCTCTGAGAAGTCCAGCAAGTATTGAGGTGGTGAAACCAGTGGAGGCTGCTAGTGCCATCTTGGCCCAGGCTGATGCTCGACAGGTAGAAGAACCCCCTTCCCTTGAGTTCTGTCTTCTCTTTCATCATAAGCATTTTAAGTAGAAGATTTTCAAGGTTTTTTTTGTTTTGTTTTTTTTTTACACTGTATCAGATGAATGACCTTTTCGGTTTTTCTTTTTAAGGTAGTACTGAAATTTACTGTTCCAGACTTTAAGAATCCTGTGGAGTTTTTTACATCGCTTGCTCAGAGAAGAGGACTGCACCGAAAAGGTGGAAGTCCAAATTTAGAAGGTGCTGCCAAACTGATGTGGTCGGAGTGGACAGGGTAAGACCCTTTCTGTTGGCATTTTGAGGATCACATGGAATGAAGGAACTGATTTTTGACAAATCTTGTTTTTAATACCAGTGCTTCCTTAGGTTACTATTGCCATCCCCCTACATCCTGGACTCCTTCTCCACATTTTAATGAGGGCATTTTGACAAACGTGAAACAGGACCTTAATCTGGAAGAACTGGAAAAGAACAATGCACACAGCATACGTAGTAAGCAAGTCTTGTGTTCGCGGTCTTCATTAGCTGACAGGCAAATAAAAGGTCTCCTCTGTTTACATGAGCGCTGTGTTCCTTCCCTAGCTATCAGGGGCCCTCGTTTAGCCAGCAGCATCCTTTTCCAGTCTTCGGGTCTGACAAATGGAATAATTGAGGAAAAGGACATACCTGAAGAACTGCCAAAACAGAAGAAGCAGCAGGAGGAGGGGGAGAACTACAGTGACCTTGACAGTGACCAGGAAAGTGTTGAAGCAGCAGCTGGTGTAAGTATGTTGCACGAGTTGCTTAAGCTGAAGTAAGTTTTCTAGCGTTATAATGTCTAACAAATGGGAAGGGGCTGAAGGGAAAAACAGTTCATAACAGATTACAAAAAAAACTCCCTTAAGATTTAAATATTTAAGGGTTGCAATCATTAGTCTTAATTTTGTGCGTCCATTTATGTGTAACTTCACAGTCTTTTTCCAGATATGCAATTCTTTGGATTAATGAACAGACAAGGGCTACTAATCTTGTACTATTTCTCTTTGTCCCACAGGAAAACAGCTTAGACATGTCTGGGGCAGAAGAGGCCTGGGAGGCACTACCTGAGGAGTCTCAAGCAGGTGGGGCAACTTGGGTGGAGGGATTTACTAATAAAGCAGCACGGTATGGAATTGCCTTTTTTTTTTTTTTGAAACCTCTTTTTTTTTTTCCTCCAATATAGATGAGTCAGCACATTCTTACATCTCAGATAAAATGACTGAAGAGGAAGATGATGCTTATGACTTCAGCACAGACTATGTATAACAGAACCTTGTCCTTTTGTAAGGTGGCTTCTTAACATTTTGAACAGACTGCTAAGCTGTTGTGTGTGCTGTACCAGTTTGTTACAGTATGATGTAAACTGTAAATTTTGTAAATACGTATCATACATTCGTTTTAAAAAACAAGGCAATGTCGAAAGTGTCTAAGTTCTATAAGAAGACAACTCCTCTCTTAACACAATGAGTGAATGGAAGTATAATTAATTACCTGGAAGCAAAAAATCAGATACCTATTGAAAAATGTAGGTTTCACTTTATTAACAGATCAGACCACAGGTTAAGGTTACAAAATTAAAACCAAGCAGCAGTGTTGAACTAGCTGTACCATCCCTGTCAGTCCTTTTACCTCTGGTCATTCAGCATGGTAGTAAGCAAACACTTGGTAAGGCGGATGGAAACACGTATAGTCTCTCTGGAAGCTGACTGCTAGCTGGGGCAGTTTGTCCTCTTGACCCAGCTGAAATGTCCCTTTTCCCATGGGCTGCCGCAGATAGGCTTTGAAGCTTTGCAACTGTTACTTCCCACACATACTGTCTTCCAGGATTTCCTGAGAAATGCTTATAGTATAAATTATGTTTTGTTTTATATTGAGATCTCCATATGTCTTCGGATAAGGCTGAATTTGCCTGTTGGGTCTGGAATATACCATTTTTCCCAGACATCAGAATAGGAAGCAGTTCTTCCCCATGGCTTAAAGTGACCATTCCAATGGAGTAACTTGGCAGCCTTTACAAACTGGGGTGAATATCGTTTTCCAGCACTGGAACCTTACATTGAGAGAAAAAGAGCCAAACGATTGTACTAGTTACCAGTCAGAAATAAGATTGCTACATCAAAGTGTAGAAAACTTAAAGGAAACTAGATACAGCCTGTCCCTGAGGATAGTCCTTCAATTAATTCCTTATTAGCTTAGGCATTTTGGTGAATTTTTCTGACTTACCAAGGTGGCGGACATTCCACATGGGGTCGATGGTAGAGTGCTGTTGATAAAATACAATCAGCAGAGGAGGTGTGGTGGTGCTGCCAGCCAGTGTTCTGCTATACAGCCCCTCTCTTGGGAGAGATGACAAATGTAACGTGTTAGTGGAAAATCCTGACAAATTAGTCTTCAGATAAGAACCCCAGGGTTGAAATTAGGGTCTTCACAGTGTGGTCAGCTATATACTTACTCTACATTGAGTTTCATCCATTTTTCCAGCTGGTTAGTTATATTTTGTTTTTTCCATTCTGTCAAGTTTGCAACAAAAACTCCAGGATTAAATGAGCAGGTGCTGGCTTTCATGGAAAGTTTGCGAATTCTTTCCTTTTTATAGTCAAGATAGCCGATGTAATTGTACTAAAACACAAAGGGGATATAGAGATGTTCACTGCTTCAAACAGAATAGATCTATAACTAATAAAGAATATAACTAATAAAGAAAAAACCTGCTTATTAAACTACTTGGATTATCAGCAGAGGGTTCCACATAAGTGAAATCTCGGATTCGAAGTTAGAGTAGAAACCTAGAATAAACGCACTAAGCTAGATGTTCAAGGAGAATTAGGTTGTCAAGTTCACTGACCAATCCATAGGAAAGCAACCTTGAGTTCTGGGATGAAGTGAGGAATGTAAAACGCAGCAAAAAAGAAAGAGCTCCCTGATTTTGTTGCCTTCCCCCCATTACCCTGCATTATAGAGCGTGGAGTGTCTGTACAAGGTAACGAATAAATAACTCACTTGGTTCCCTGCTCCACGGATGACAACTTTGGTAGAGGCTGAGTCACAATCTTCTGAAAATGCAGCTGCATGTCCTGGCTTCAATGGTGTATTATAAAGGGCAAGAATATCCCCTGAAATAGACAAAAGTATAAGATTTACAAAAGATTTATACTTTGAGTTGCCTCAAGATGCCCATACTTCCCAATTAGGATGACCTTTTATAGGATACCATAAATAAAACAACCACAACCTCCCAAACTCTGGACAGAGAACAGCACCAATGGTAACAGTCTTTGGTACCTTGCACAATTACATCATCATCCATATATATGGCCTTCTTTGCACTGGGAACCAGAATTGGCAAGTAGAACCGTGCAAAGGTTAACTGGGAAAGGAAAAGGAAAGAGGCATTGGCATAGGATTCGTCAGTGGCTAGGCCTTCATTAGAAACTCCCAGAATGCTTTTTGTACCCATGCAGAAGACCACTGAAGGTCTTTTAAGAACTGCCCCACCTTGGCCCCCAGGGAGCTACTTGCAGTGCACCCAGTTACCCAGGTATTCCAGTCATTTCCTAATACAGTTGACCCTTGGGACAATGCAGGGTTTAGGGATAACAGCCTCCTGGACAGTCAAAAATCAACATACAACTTTTGACTCCCCCCAAAACTTGATAACCTACTGTGGACTAGAAGCCTTACCTAGAATATAAACAGTCAACATATTTTGTGTTACATGAATTATATACTGCATTACAATAATAGAATGTTAAAATCAAGGAAAAAACATTTACAGTACTATATCAAAAAAAAAATCTATTGAAAAAATCTGCATATAAGTGGACCCTTGCAGTTCAAACCTGTGTTGTTCTAGAGTCAACTATATTCCCAAGTACAAACAAGGATGCACAGAACTCACTGGTTTTATGGATTCCCCCTGGTCAGGATCCTCCTTTACTTTCCCTTCCAAAAGTTTAGTGTCAAAATTCACAATTTTGTACCTGATGGTTTTCAAGGCACTGCTGCTAAGCCAGGACCTGATGAAAATACACCAAATTTCAGTTTTATATAACCATGTCCCCAAGACTGCAGCCTTCTCTTTGTGCCTTCCAAGGGCATAATATAAGAGAAACCCTGGTGACCAGATAGGTGTCTTAAAGCCTGTTCACCCCTTCCCCTCTGCAAATCTTGGATTCCTCATCTGCAGTGAGGGTGTGCCCATCCAAATCCCTGACTGAACCACAATTCTGTGGTGATGGATAGTGCTCCCACCAGGCTCACACTTGGGATCACTGCTGTAGAAAAACTCTGTGGAGTTGAGAACATCCCATCACCACATGTGGTCCAACTCTTGTCTCTCCAAATACATGGTGAAGAAGTCAGACTTTGATGGTAGTGAAAGCTAATTATCAACAAAGCGGTAATCACGCTATTACAGACTCATTAATTCACTGTAATGACTAATTCTTCCACCTGAGTCTAAGGTATTGTCTCTAAATAATTCCATGTTCTCTAAAGTATTGCACATTTTTTCTGTAGCTATTCTAATGCAATATTTGTTTTTACATTATTTTAGATGGTTTTGGATAAAATGGGAAAAATAAGTCATCACAATTTTCACAAACTAAACATGAACCATGTAGAAAGGCAAAAGGACAGAAATGTTTTAGAACTTTGACAACTGTTAACCTGTTAGACAAGATGTTTGACTAAATTTCATAAATCTGAATTCAGAGCATTTTTAAGACCTGGGTGAACTCTTGTTCATCAGCTTAGGATTCTATGATTAGTTACAACAGTTGTAGTAAGGAACATTTACTCAATGATTATGTTCTTAGTGTTTTTTATATATTTTCTCATTTGCAACACAATAATCCTCTAAGTTGGATATTTTCACCCCATACTTAGAGATCTGGAAATGGGCTCCAAGGGGTTAAGTAATGTTCCCTAGTCACTCTGGGCCAGGATCTGGATTCAGTGTCTGCTCACTTCGCCACACCACCTTGCCATTGCTCCCCCATCCCATCCCACTCGACCTAATCAGGGTATGTCCATGAGATAAGGAACTTGTAACAGGATATAAATCAACATACTGCTTCTTTCACTGAGAAGCTCATTACCAAAACAGTATCTGCTTAAGTTAACAATGTGTATATGGCACAGTGATTTACATCTTGGCACAAATTCCTTGTATTGTTTCTGCTACAATAGGGACATGTTTATGATACAATCACATGGAAAAATATGTCAAATGTGCAGTTTTTATGTGGTATAATTCCAACTGTATAGAAAAAGTATATACGTATAGACATATAGAAAAAAACATATCCTGGATTGGCAGCTGGCCTGTTCTAGAGCATCCTCTAGAAGCAGAATCATCAGGCAAGCAGAGCTCACCGGAGATGGTCTGCTGTACCATTGAGTGTAACAATGTAGAACATCACATTGGAGCGAGTGTTGTGCTGAATGCTGTTTATAGCTGCAATGGCCCCCCCGAGCCTGTCTTCAGATGCAGCAATGACCACAGGAATCTCCTCTTGTCTCCCGTCTACAGCTTGTTGGGGAACATTTGGGACAAAGTCTATGGGCTGAAACCCCACAATTCCTGAATCTGCAAAGAACACACAAGAAAGGCATTGTGATACAATCTCATGAGCTTTTGATAGAGAGCCCAAGACATGAAAAGAGGTAAGGCGGGGATTATACTTACCTCATTCTCCCTTCATTATAATGTGAGGCATATAGCTCAGAAACTCTTCTCCTATATTTAACAAGGCTTTTGGAAAAGCAGAAGCATTAAAAAAAAATGGTGGAGTGAATTCTGATACACTACTGGTGGGAATACAACAATCTTTCTAGAATGTATTTTAGCAATTTGTGTCAAGAGCCTTAAATGGGGGGTACCTGGCTGGCTCAGTCAGAGGAACTGCAACTCTTGATCTCAGGGTCGTGAGTTCAAGCTCCACATCAGGGGTTGAGATTACTTAAATAAATAAACGAACCTTAAACAGGTATATTGGCCTCTGAGCCAGTAATTCCCCTTGTCCTCTCTTAAGGACAAATCTGAGAAGTTAATCAGAAGTCACAAGTTTGTTTATAATTGTGAAAACCTAGAAAGAGACTAAACAGTTGTTTTTCACTCTATGAATTATGTCCCATAATAGGCATGAAATCAATTCAGTGGGTCACAATCAGAATTTGAGTAGGAAAACAGTTCTTGAATTGGAATAGAATTAGAAAAGTATCAGACTGCATCACACACAGCAACTCTAAGTACTGTTTCATAAGGATTCTTTTCTGCCTTTTAAAACATATACTCATTCATTTACATTCGTTGAACACTGAGCACCTAACATGTGGAAGGCGGTATCTAGGCACTAGGGTTGTAGCCATAAATAAAATGGACAAATCTCTGCCATCATGAAGGGCAGACAATAAGCAAGTACACATGTATACTTGTGTGCTACATGTAACATGTTTCTTCATCAGAAAAAGTCTTGAGTCATTGTACCAAGACTATTTCCTGTGGAAACAAGCTATGGGGCATTAAAATTATGTATGAGGAGTACCATCATGGTGACTTGCTTCAGATACAATCACATGGAAAACCTGTCATGTGCAGTTTATAAAGTGCATAATCTCATAATAGAAAAACTGTATACACAGGAAGAGAAACCCAGGAAGGTACTATGCCAAAATTTTAATGATAGTTATCTCTAAGTAATGAAATCATGTATTCAATGAAAATTTATTGAGCACCTCCTGTGTACTGGCCATCATTTATATGCACGGGAGATAAAGGAGTGAACAAATTATTCTCATGGAGCCTGAATGCTCTTTTCATTTTTATAAATGTTCCCACTAGAACATACATTACTTTATGTACATAGAATATGTATATATGTAAATACACACTTGTAAAACATGCTATCAGAGCACTCAGTAAAGGTCAGGGGAAGGCTATTAGTCTTTTCTTGCTGTGGTCAACTATGGTGGGTGGCAAACCCAAAATGATTTTTGACAAACATCATAAGGCCTCAAACATCCCTCAATACCAAAGCAGGAGCAATATGAACAACTAATTTAAAAGAACTGACAATGGAATTATACAGTAAAGTGATTTTTTTAATCAGTTGCTAGGCTTGATGGTTTTGTGTTTCTACTAGAGTCCTAGTGATACTCTTCCACAGGTTAAAGGAAAGTAACCACACGGACATTAGTAAATAGGGCAGGCATCAAAGAGAAGCGTCACTCACCTGTCCCCACCTTCTGAAGCCCTGCTCTGCTGCAGTGTGAGCAGACAGCAGCCCACAGAGGCGCCCCTAAGGCCTCTGATGGGGTGAAAAGGGATCTGCTGTCAGATGAAACCCTTAACAAATCTCCACATAACAGGAGAAGGGGTGGGGGGTGGGGCTGCAAGAGCCTGAGTACCACCACTCCCTTTCCCAGAGTCTAACAGCTTTTGTAAGGACAAGAAGAAAACTTCCTTTTCCTTTACCCTAGTAATGTAACTTAGAATGTTGGGGTACAGGGAACTCCGGGTCCTCAACAGGTGCCAAGGCATTAGTAAGGGCTCCCATACCTGAAACCTCATTCCTTAGCAAACTGCTCAGGCCGAGGAAGTTATGGTGCAAAACCAGTAAGAAGAGAACAACAGCCAGGACCAGGACGATGATGTTTACTGAAACACAGGAAAAGCCCGCATTACATCTCTTTACCTTCTGAGCAGCTATAAAAACAATGTAATTTGTAGAAAGAGCATACCTTTACGGAATGACATCTTTCTCTTCTGTCTTATATAAATACTAGTTTTTAACCCTACAAGACAAAAACAAGCCCCCAAAGTCAGCAGGTACATGAGAATTACCATCAAAATGCCTCAACACTTTTATTCAGGTAGAAACATAACAGTATTTTCTGCCAGAAACTCATTTTGAATTAAGTTTCCAAGAACCCAAATTGAGATCTGAATTTTATATAGTAGTCATGATAATAAAATACTTGCAAATAACGTGGGAGAAATAGATAGCTTTGTACATTAAATGTCACCAGATGAAAAGCAAAATAAATTCTACCAAGAGGAATACTTGGTAGAATACATTTCCACTATGGAAATGTTTTCTGAATGAATTTCTACTCAAAATTCCTAAATTAGACATGGACTCAGTTATCTATGATCAAATAACCTGAGGTCAGCCTCATTGGTACAAAACATCCCTGTTCTGAGTTTTATCCCATTCGGCTTTAATTGGAATTAAAGAGAAAAACATTTATCAAATTCATTCAAAACTATAGCAGAGAGGGGTGCCTGGGTGGCTCAGTCAGTTAAGCAGCTGCCTTCAGCTCAGGTCATGATCCCAGGGTCCTGGGATGGAGTCCTGCATCGGGCTCCCTGCTTGGCAGAGAGCCTGCTTCTCCCTCTCCCTCTGCTGCTCCCCCTGCTTATGCTCTGTCAAATAAATAAATAAAATCTTAAGATAATAATAATAATAGGGGCACCTGGCTGTCTCAGTCAGTACAGCATGTAACTCTTGATCTAGGGATTGTGAGTTTGAGCCCCACAGTGGGTATAGAGATTACTTAAAAAATAAAAAATAAAAATCTAAAATAATCACAATCAAATGAGAATGTGTGTGTAACTAAATTAAACGATCAGATTTCTATAACATGTCTGGATAATGTTTCCTTAAAAGATTTTATGCATCCAGGATATTATGATCTTACCTCTGAGACCTTTACCTTTTCTACTTCATCCTCCCCCACGGGAGTACCTAACATTTACATAAGGCCATTAACTTCACAAAGCACTTTGAATTATAGCATATTTCTAAAATCAAAGTCTGAATTAATTTAATCGTAGAAGTGTGTCCCTATCAGACACTTGATTTCTTAAGACGTTTGAAAAAGAGAGAAAGATATTGAAGGATTGTTTTAAAAACGGGGGATTATCAGTCACACTACAAATTTGGGAGAAAATAATTTAGACTCCTAAAGAATAATCTAAAATACAGTCTCCCCCTCTCATTTCTTTCTACAGCAGTACATATAAAGTACATCATACCAGTGAGCTGCTTCTCTAAAGAACACACATCAATATGCCTCAGCAGTGTGCCTCTATCACATGGTGAGCTGAGCCTTACCTACAGAAACCGCCTAACCAGGAGCTGCTAGACAAAACCATAGCATTTGCTGCTTAGAGCCAATTTCTACCAAGACTGGAAAGAATGATCACCCTCGAATAAATCTCATTTACTTAATGGTACAAGAGACAATGTCCACTCACAGTTACTTACAGATAGTGGGTTGAGAGGTGTATGTATTTGTGCTATTCCAGTTACCTAGACACAAAAAACCACAATCCTAGCAGGTACTTGATGTTTCAGCAGGGCAGAAACCACTTGCCTCTAAAACTCTTCCACAGTTATACATATATGCAAAATGCCAATTATTATGAATATGTCTGCTCCGCATTTCCTTTCCTGGTGCTATTCCTTGTAGTGAAATTCACTGATGTGGTTAGAAAGATTTCTCAAAACTTTACATAGACCCTGGGATGTGTAATAGTGGCTGTATTTTTCTAAGAGTACACAGCTGTGAACAATGTGATCAGCCATACTGTTTTTCACTATGGAAATTCATTTTTTGTTTAGAAATTATAAATAAAATCTTCACATTCCCAAATCACTCACAAAACATGCACACACGCATACAACCAAGGCAGGCATATCCAGAAATATGGGTGAAGAAATCTTAGGGAGAAAGAACACCACTTTTTTTAACTTGCTAGCTACCTGCATTAGTCCCCACATTCTTGGCAGCTGTGCCTACCTTTCCACCTTCCCTCTTGTTAATATGTAGTCCCATGAAAGGCCATTCCACTGACACTCTGTAACCTAACCTCTAATTGTTTCCTTGGTGCAGCTTCAGCAAACACTTTCCCTCTCTGCTGGATCACACCCATCAGCATATTATCATGCTCTTCTATCTTCCAGTTAATTAAAAAAAAGAGAGAGACACCATTACCCACACGCAAGTTGATCCACAGACCCATTTCTCTGCTCCCATCACTCTAAAAGCTTGAAAAAATTGCATCTCTAGCTCCACTTCCTCTCCTCCTCTCCAACCAGACTTCTGTCCCTACTGTTCCATTCAAACTGATCTTCTTGAGGTCACCAAAGACCAAGGTCATCTTTCTGTCCCCTTATCCACTCCCCTCAGAGGCCATCAGGAAAGTTCACTACACCCCCTCCTTAATCATGAAATTCTCTCATGTTTTATTTCTGTCTTCCCAGACTAGAATGTAAGCTCTATGAGAACAGAGACCCCATTGAAAGTGTTTACTGATGCATCCTCACCATCTAAAAACCACGATTATTAGGCATGTGATATTTGTTGAATGGTCTTGTAAACAGGAGCAAGGGTGTTCTCAGCTCAGAAAGGGAACACCATTTTTGATAATGAAATACATTTCAACATAAGGGCCGACACGGATTCCAACAAAGAGCTCTTTCAAATGGAACCAGACAGGCAATTTCCTTTTCTCATATCTTATAGCTCAGATACCATAAAGCCTCTACAGCAACTGCCACACAATGAAGTGCATTTAAAAAGGGATAACACGGGGGTGCCTGGCTGGCTCAGTCTCAGAAGCTAGCGATTCCTGATCTCGTGGTTGTGAGTTCAAGGCCCATGTCGGGTGTAGACATTGTTCAAATAAATAAAACTTAAAAAGGCGGTGCAGGGGTGGGGGGGTAGTAACAAAGAGGGACAGGTCTATTTCTACATACAACAGAAAGACTATTAGGTCTCTGCCAGGCTGAAAGATGGAAAGGTACTAAGGATATACATCCACTTTCTCCTACCTCTTCATCTGGCTAGCTACTTGGCTTTCAGGACCCATGGGAGACTCTCCCAAACTCCATATTCAGCTGCACCTGCCCTTAGCTCTCACATCTCTCAGGCCTCCCTATCCCAGAATAAATTTGGCTGTCGTTTATTTCTGGGGTTATGCCATTGTCTCCCTTGACACGCTCTGGCCTCTAGGAAGGAAAGAGCCTGGTGTTGGTCACAGCAGTATCCTAGCCCACTGCATGGCATAGAAAAGGTACCATGAATGTATGAATGAGGGCGGCCGCCTGTCCCGGGAGTGCTGAGAATCCCACCGTCTGTGACCCTGACACAGAACACAGCATAGAGGCTAGAGGTCTGGGTTCCCCAGGGCGGTTTCTCTCCGACACATGGGCACCGCACCTCGCTCAGAGTAACAAGGGAGGACCTAAGTGTTTGAGGTAGACATACCCTTGAGAGAGAGGCAGAGCGAACCCTTGATGGGTCTCTATTGGGAGGGCCCGGTGCAGCCGGCGAGCATGCCGCACGGCCAACGTGGAGATTCTCCGGGTGGGAGTATCTCTCCACACCGGTGCAGGGGGACCGAGGGCGGGTCCCTTTTTCGAGGGGATGCCCTTTCTCTCGAGGATGTGGCCTGGGGTAGTCCCCTCTAAATTCTAGGAGACAATAGGGCCCCCTTACGCTTAGGGGCGACGGGGGTCGGTGGGACGCTCCGGAACCTCCGCCAGGGCCCAGAGACAAGCCCCTCCCGCCCTTCGTTAGGGTCCAGCCAAGCCGTTCCCCTAGGACGCTTCCCGCGGCCGCCCTTACCTGCAGCCGGAGGAGGAGGAGCCACGGCCCGAGCCCCGGCCCGCCCCGCCAGCTCAGCGTCCGCGCCGCAGGCCCGGGGGCCCAGTTCGCCGCCGGGCCGTCCGCCTCCCCTGCACTCGGGACCGAGCCCACCCGCCCGCTAGCTCCGCGGTCGTCGCACACTCCGGCAACCCGAAGTCGGCCCACGGCTCGGACTGCGGGAGCGTGGCGCCGAACAGGCGCCGCCGGGCAGCCCCGCCGCTGGGGTCCTCGCCGAGAAGAGCCGGTCGCCATGGAGACGGGGCGCGCGCCGGTAACGGTTAGGCAGCGGTGGTGCTGTGGAGGGCAGTTTGTTGGGTCCGGCCCCGCGGCTCCCGGCACCCGACAGCACCGACGGCGAACCCTTCACGGGCGCGCGATGCCTCCTCTCGGCCGTCACCACCTCATCCCTCGCGGGTAGTGCGCCGGGCTACAGCCGGCTCCGAAAGCTCAGGTCGCAGAGCGATGGCGCGGGGCGGGGCCTCGGGCCGTTCGGGTCTATGGGAAACATCCGCTTCCGGGGCCGCGGCCATCGCATTACACCGCTCAGCGGGCCCACCGAGCTACCCGTGGTATCGGACCCCGGCGCCTACGGTCCCCGAGTCGCTGCTGCTCTCGCCCGACTGCCATCCTTCTCAGCCAGTCATGTTGCAGCATCTGAGCTCACTGCCCACGCAAATGGTGAGGGCTCGGCCCCAAGACCCCCGCACGCAGCTCCGCCGCCCTTATCGGAGCACCGACCCTGTGCTGCGCGGTTCCTGGCTCGGATGGCTGCCTTGCAGTCAGTCGCTTTCCTGAATTGTGCTTCCCAGGTCCCCATCTCTCTTCCTCCGGGAGGAGCCCCCTGCCTGTGCTCTGTTAGGATGCTTCAGTTTCCTCAGGAAACCCAGAATTTCATTTTTCGCACAGTTTTGGGCCCCTGACGTTGGGGTTGCCCGGTGCCAAAGCTGTGAGGCCAGGGAAGGAACTGTGCCTCTTCCCGTGGTGGAACCAATTTCTGCTTTGCTCTTCTTCACCTCTAGGATTACAAGGGCCAGAAGCTAGCTGAACAGATGTTTCAGGGAATTATTCTTTCTTCTGCAGTAAGTATTGGTTTTGCATAGTATTCGCTTTCTTCTCCCCCTCCCCCAACCAGC